CGGGCGTGCATAGGTTACCAAATTTTCTTATCCTTGGTGCTCCGCTTCGCTAGTAACTGACCATCACTAAACTTGTCTCCAAATGCACGCGAGGGATAAACGAACAGCTACTCTAAAAGACAGGTGCCTATGAGCGCTTACCATTTGCACGAAAAGTTTTTCCGTCAAATGGTACTGGTATTTTTTGGGCGCGTGCGGGTGGTAAAAACGGGAAAAAGGAAATACCTTGAAAGGTATTACTTTTTTCCGCAAAATTTCCACCGGGATGAACCGTTCCATAGTCTCCCAGGAATTTCCGGGTTTTCCATACAAATGGTGAGCGCTCAATGTTTTATCTTTTAGAATGAAAATCAGAAAAACCTCAGAGTGGAGTGGCAACCACCCCCGCCCCCATTGTCTGTCCAAGGGAGTCTAAAATCCTGAAGTCGCACAAAATATATAATACCTTGTCGAGAAGCAATCCGCCTGTATAGGAGGAGGAGCTGAGAAACTCTACACAACGTTAGAACATTATATTTTCTGCTGGCGAATTGCTCCATGTGTTGCTATGAGTATGTCAGGCACTCCCTGAGATTGACATCAAGTTAGCTGTTGGGCAGTATAATAATAGGGAGCTTTAGCATCGACTACGGCAACGGCAGCGAAAACGTCAGTTTTAAAATGAATTCCCGTTTTTTCAATCTTTGTCGCGTTTATTCCAGTTTGCTGAAAATGGCAAGTGTAGGCGAATTTCACTGGAGTTAATTTCTTGAGGACCGCACTCAAGTTTAGAGAGAGAAAAAGAGATTCGTCGTCGCTTGTTTACGTCCTCCATAAAACTTGCAATTAGGCATTTTCACATGGTAGTCGTGCAAGGACGGTAAAGAAATGTTCTAAAAGCGTGATGCACGTGCAAAGTTGTTGTTTTGCGTAATAAAGCTATTGCTTTTTTGTAATCCTCGTTGCCGTCGCCGTCGTCGTAGCTAAAATTCCCTATATGCATGGAGCGACAAACATCGACCTTGGCACTATTGAGAAATTATTTCTCAATAACGCCCAAAAGGTCGATGTTTGGCGCGGATGACACCATGCTTTACGGTTCCTCAAAGTGCAACTTAATGGTCATTCTTGAGAAGCTGGATACACGATAGCCTGTGTAGCAGGTGCCTGGAAAAAAAATGGGCACAAGAAAGAAGGGGGCGCAAGAGCGAGACACGCGAGGGGGGAGGGATAGCTCCCACTTTTCTCTCGTGTCTTCTCACGCGTATCGTTTTTTCGTGCACCCATTACTTTCAAGCGCCTGCTACGCAGGCTAGATACAAGAAGAAACATCGAAGGTTAATCACACTAAAGAGGACGGCATGTCAGTTCGTACAGGGATAACCGAGCTTGCACAGAAGACTGCTATTGTCGATTCAATGGCTGGAGAGTGTAGGCTCTTGAAAAATTGGACTGGATTAAGAATTGTTCCCACTGGGCTGACCATTTCACCATATTGTTTCACTGCGCACATATTTGAGAAATACAATATGGTATCGATGAATTGCAACTTATCTTTGCCAGGTTAGTCAGTTTCAATTTTACACTGAGAACACCGTTTAATCGCTGTCAGTAGTTAAAGTGACAATAATAGTTTTTTTTAGGTAGGATGCAGCATTCTCCTTAAAGATAAAGGCAGTGAAACAGTGGAAACTATATTACCGCGAAGCATCTCCGTGGCTAGAGGAACGCTGTCTTGTTGGAAAGAAGATATCATACCTACTGCACTTGCAGATCTGTACGCAGGCCCAGTTAATCGCATCGAAGGCCGATTAGCGTTAACCCCGGGTTAAATCTTAACCTGGGTTTCTTTTTTTGGTTCAAAAGCATTTTCCTGGATACTTTTCGCTATTTTTTTTAGAGCATGCCATCCAATCATCAAATTGCGGGCAAAAAGAATAAAACTGAATTTGCTTTTTAAGCTTTCATATCTGAATTCAAATTCCGCTCTAATCCCGGCTTATATTAACCTTGCTTTGAACAACGGGGCCCTAGGGACAACTACGCAGCCTACATCAAGAGCCGTAGCTGCAATTGAGAAATTACCGGATCTGCCAGGTGTATATCAGCCAGAGACCCGCATTCCTGTGAAAAACTGAACTGCTGAGGTGATAATAATTACCGTTTCCCTCATTACAAATTTGAACACCTTGTTGTAGATAATTCATAGCAGAGTTTCACGCGCGAAGCGTTCGCTTGCGGAGCCCAATGGCTAAGTAAATCTACCCATCCTAGAAAATTTTTTTATCACGTGACCGTATACCGCCCGAGCGACCGACCGACCGTCCATCAGCATCACAGGCACACCAAAATAAAATAACTCAATCAACAGGTATGGAAACCCAAATGCAACGGAAGAAAATTGCATGGACCCCAGGACTTTAAGAGAGAAAAAAACAACAACAACAAAGTCGTGTCTTTTTCGACGTTATTTTTGATGTTTAGACTCACGTGGATAACAGAGAAAGAGCTAGGGAGACAAATTTCGCTGGAAGAAACATACGAAAATTTCATAGCGCGGCTGTGAGAAAAAGGGAAATATTAGCAGCCAGGTGAAAATGAGCAGCAGCGAAAAAATAAAAGCGAACATGAACACAGGAAGCAAAATCTTTGGTAAGCACATACGACCCGTTTTAGTCGTACAAAACGGCAATGTAGACATGCAAAACAACGGCAAAGAAAGACAAAAAAGCGTGCTGCTCGTGCAAACTTGTTTTTTGCTAATTAGAAAAAAAGTGTGCTGCACGTGCAATTTGTTTTTTTCTTTGCTAATTAGATCTATTGATCTTGATGCCATTTTCATTGCCGTCCCATTTTATGGTGATGTTACACGGAACGATTCGCAACGACGATTTTTAGCGCAACACAATGTTGCAATGTTGGAACAATTTGTAACCATTCGAAACAATGTCGCAAAAATTCTGCATGTTTGAATTCAAATAAAACGAAAATATATTTCAAACCTTATTCGAATTTCCTAATAGTTACTGGGCCCGGAAAACTCTTGCCGTTCGAGTCAAAATCGAAAATTCAATAGTTTTGCAGATAACATGATGAAACTATGTCGTTTAACAAAATAGAATGGACTGGCTTGACGGCAAGGAAACATGCCTTCATTCTTTAAATTTTGACTTAAACATTTCATTTCGGGCCCGAAAAGTTACCGGCACTTTCGAGAAACGGGCCCCAGCTCCCACTGGATTGTCTTGGTACACCAACATTACCACTGTTTTATTGTTTTGGAACGGCAATATTGCCGCCGTGAAGTAATGTGAAAACGCTCTATAATTCCCGTGGTACTGTTTATTATGCTGTACAAAGCAGGCCTAACTTTGAAGTCTGTGGATAACATTAATAAAGGTAACCAATCAATTAATAGCGGAGCTCTCGCGCGCGAAGCGCGCAGCGGAGCACCATGGGTAAAAAAATGTGGTAAACTACCCATCCGAGAAAATTTGGTAATCACGTGACCGTACACCGACCGCCCGCCCGCCCGACCGTCCGTCCGCACCACAGACATACCAATGTAAAAGAATTCAATTAACAGGTATAGTAACCAGGTTTCATTTGGAAAGAAATCGCATGGCCGCCCGGACTGTTAGAAAGAAAAAACAACAACAAAGTCGTGTCTTTTTAGACGTTATTTTTGATGTTTACTCTCACGTGGATAACAGAGAAACTGAGCTAGAGCTAGTGACTGAAAACAAAAGAGAAGAATTTTGTAGAAAGAAAAACATGAAAATTAAAAGCGGCTGTGAGACAATGAGAAATGCTAGTGGCCAGCAAGGTGAAAATGAGCGGCAGTGAAAAATAAAAGCGAACATGAACACAGGAGACAAAATATTGGGTAAGCAATTCCTCCATAAAAATAATGTGCAACTAGGAAGTTTGACGTTTTAGTCCTACAAAACAGCGTTGTAGTTGTGCAAAACAACGGCAAAGAAAGACGAAAAGCATGCTGCACGTGCAAATTCGTTTTTTTGCTAATTAGAAAAAAAAAGTGTGCTGCCCGTGTAATTTGTTTTTTTTGCTAATTAGATCTATTGATGCCATTTCCATTGGCCTCCCCGTTTAGCATTAGACGATTTAATTTTTTTTGTTTACAAGTATTATTAACCAGAGCTTCGCTTTTAGCCCTGGCTAAATCTATATATTAAAAGCTACTGAACAGTACTTTCCTAGGCTTCTTTTTTGGGGGGGGGGGGGGGAGGGGATATTTGAATTAACTATTAACCCCTTAAGCCCTAAGAGTGATCAGTATCAAAATTCACCTAACGATATCAATGCTTTATAAAACAGATTGTTGATGAGATTTAAGGACATGATCACACAAGATAAAGATACAATTGCAATGAGTTGATACTTCAACAACTTCTGACTACCACTTCTATAGGAAACGTATAGGGGCAGCAAATGGGAATTTGAATTTTGATATTTGGGGTTAAAGGGTTAAGGAAAAATGGGGGCAAAGGTAGTGACCACTATTTGCTATGCTCTGTGCTCATTCCCCACTTGCACTTGCTCATCTTCAACACCCCGGTCTAAAGTTGAGTGCTCCCTACCAAGCCTGTGGGAGAGGCAGCTGTTGAAATAATTGTTGAAATTGTATTATTAAAGATATATGGCAAGTTTGTTTGGGTGTGGCCAGTCCTTGATAAAAAAAAAACATGATTGACAGCTCTCAGATTTCACTCGACGAGGACAGTTGCAGGGTTTTGTTTTCTAAATGAATTGGTTGGAAGATGACTTTTCTCAGTGGACCTTTCCAAGGGTAAGTAGGCATGAAAAGTAATTTGCCACTTGTTACGCAAAATGGAACTAGTTTGTTTACTTCGAAGGGTACTCACATGAGCAACAAAAAATACCACTAATTAGAGTTTTTCAAAACGATGAACTTTTAGCTGCTAAAATCAGTAGGAAACAAACTCACAAAATTTTGAAACAACAAAAGTGCTTTATTGATTAGAATTCTAATGTTTATCAAGGGCTTTAAAGCTTTTTAACCTTATAGCCAAATATACCATTTAGTTCAAATTTTTGACAAAGAGAAGGACATTCCACTTGGACATGGCCTTACTATTATTGAAATCACGCTCCATTTCCCTAGGGGATTATAAAACAGGACTTCTTACTAAATGACCTGCCATGTGAGGCGGAGCTATGCCCATCTACCTTAACCTATCGGTTATCCGGTCTAACTAGGTTTCCTCTAGACTGTTTTCATACTGAAAGAAAGGCAATTTGAAGGGGAATTAGCATAATCAGAAGTCATTTTTGAAATACCAGGCACCACTTCAATAAAAGAACCAGTATAAAAGTCATAGAAGTATCATATCAGCATCTTGCTGCAGTTTCTCAGCCTAGTGATACCCAAGCAAAACCAAAGAATCTCCTATCGTTACCGAGTGCTCAAATATATTTACAACAGTTTTTTCTCTTTCTTATTGTTTGTTTACGTGACCAGCAACTTTATTATCAAGCACTGTTTATCTTCTTTTCCACAAAAGCCAGTGGAGTATAATAGGGTTGATGATTGTAAAAGCAAAGAAAGCGAGTTTGGACCAGAATCCAACTGTATTTCTCTGCAAGTCTCTCTCAAGATCTCGCACTCTGCGGTTTAACTGTTGCACCTGAATCAAGCACTTCCTGGTGTCTGACAGGTCGTTGCCCATGTAATGACCAACTTCACCGTCACTATCAAGTGGCGTACCTTCTTCAATAACTTCAAGACCAACAGCAATACTAAAATATAAGAACAGTTTTGAATAATATTGTTGAATGGCATGCTATCAAATCAGAAAAATTAAGGAGGGATCGATCATTATACGTTTCGGGGAAACTGCCCAACTACCTCTCCCCTAAGCCTACATTTTCTCCAAAGTGAGAAGTAAATGTTAATGTTGGCTTAGGGGAGGGGGAGGTGGGCAGTTTCCCAGAAATGATAATGATCCAAATTAAATTTATGATAAATGCAACCCTAAAGGGTTGTAGTTGATGAACCTGTAAAAATTGGTTGATTTAAAAAGGTAAGTGGGATGACTACTTCCACGGTCAATCCTAAATTTCTTTAGTCAAGAAATATGAAAATTTACGTCACTTCCTACCAAACAAATTATTAAACAATTTGACATAAGTTTACGTGAAAGCCTCTCAAAGCCTACACAACGAAGAATCAGTTGATACACATACAGTTGGACTACGTCAATTCATTTTTTTAATGTAAATGTTCACGACTGCAAGACTGCAAGACCAACACTTAAAGATGTTAGAACGTAGAGGCCGGATATTCTGAAGTTATTATTTTCACATAGCACAAATATCAAAATTGTGTATTCTAAAATTTAATAATATAATTTGAGTACTAAAACACAAAGGCTACGATGCACAAGAAAAGAAAGAAAGAAATCACTAAAGTAAAAAAATATTCTTTAATTACGCTTAACGACAGGCTTACCTTTCATCTTCGACGAATTTAGCCGCAAAAGCCCCTCTCTCACCTGTTCCACGAATTGGGGAAGGTTGTGCTGTCGCGATCCTTTGAGGATAATGTGCCGATTTTGTGTCACCAACAGTAAGAGTTCGTGGTGGAGTTACCATACTACTCTTAGAATTCACACTCCCCAAATTATCTCTTAAATCCTTGGGAATTTCACTCGTTGGAGAAGCAACATTGCCGATTTCGATTCGTTCTGGAATGGCCATCATCGACGATGTCATAGCTGCCCCCGAGGTACCTGTCGCTGCACTAGCCGGATATTCCTCTTCGTCCCCAGCTACGGTAATTTTTTGTGGAATTCTCATTTTTTGGGCAACATCATCGTCGAGTAGACCGTCAGTAAAATCGAAAGATAACGGCGAGTTTGAAGAAAATTCATCAGGCAGGCCCGCCATTTTTCGTTTCAATGCAAAGACAAGGTGATTCTATCCCGGTCAGCGGTCTCCAACACCCGGTAGTTGCCTTAAGTAGGGTTATTAAAGTGTATCAAGAAATGTATAAAAATAGCCTTGTAATGCCATGTATTTAAGGTGATTCCCTAGTTTTGCACTGCGCATCTCTTACTGCGCATAACAAGATGGCCGCCGTAAAAAAGAGCATGTGAAGTAATATTATTGTTATTATTTTCATTTAAACACTTTCTTTATCACATTGTGTCCTAAATGTGATATCTCGATGTAAATTCTGTAAAAACGGATTTTTTAATACTTCCTTCCCCCTTTCACATACACTCTATTTTGAAACTCGCCCCAGTCCTCTCTCAAAAATCGGAGAAAATGCGTTTGGTGCGCACTTTCTGCAGCTCTACCGCAAAAACGAGTACGGTGACCCCCAATTTTTATTTCATTATTTTAATAAGGACATTGCTTCCTTTCGTTGAGCAAAAAATTGGCACAAATCTATGTTCAGCTTTTTGGCAATTTTACTAAATTGTACGGATTGAGCCATCACGGGTCGAAAAGCGCGCGTCCAATTTAACTCTACTTTGGAGCGTAAAGTAAAAACAAGAGCATTAAAAGGCATTTTTCTGGTACGTAAGTGGATAAATTCTGTGTGATGCCACATGCATCATCGAAAAAATCTCTCCTTTTTGTCTAGTTTTGGGCTGCCCGCGGTTTTTGTAAAAGGGTCCTAAATAGCCGTATTTGTCAGCATTGTGACGTCAAAACGAGCACGGTGATCCCCACTTTTTATTAATTTTTTATCATCTTCTTGACTTGTTACATCAGTGTACCAAGTTTTAGCTACAATCTATGTTAGTTTCTTTTACTATGGAATCACCTTAACAAATAGATTCCATGTTGCCGTGCGTCTGTTCAGTAATAGATCACAGATGACGTCAAAATGTCGTAAAAACAAAGAAGTGGCACACGAGCCGCAGGCGAGTGTGTCACTGTTGTTTTTACCACATTTTGACGTCCTCTGTGATCTATTACTGAACAGACCCACGGCAACATGGAATCTATTCAGGTTGTTTTATACAATGATCAGAAAAGAAAAAGACCGATACACATACCTGCCTCGAACCGCTTGACCTTTTGAGGATTTGTGCTAGTTTAGGCATTTTTTATCCCAAACCCAACTTTTCATCTTAGCTTCTTCTTTATCTTACTTGTGTACAGTTTCTTCGAAAAGTTTTTCACCGTCTTTTCTTGCTCAAAGAAGAATAATAGCGAAAACATTTTGCAAAACAGCGAGTCTCTCGTAGCGAAGACACACGATGGCAACTGTTGTGAAGATTTCTTGTAGTTTAGGCATTGTCAAGTAGTCAATAGCTTTTTTGGTCTCCGTTTCTCCATTTTTCTTCTTTGTAAATAGCTCCTGCTAAACTTTTTCCGAAGCTTTCACTTGCTTCAATCCGAAATAATCTCACAAACATTTTCAAAACCGCGTGCCATGTTGAACAAAACAAAGAAAACAAGTTTCCCGTGACGTCATCCATGTATCTGTACTCTAATCGATCATGGGCAACGACCAATCACAGCGCGCGTAGCATTCATATCATTGTATAAAGCCTTATAATGTCATGTATAGCCATGTATTACCTGTTTTACATGCAATACATGGCTATACATGGCATTACATGGCTATACATGGGTATACATGCTAATACATGGCTACACATGGCAGTACAAGGCTATACATGTCAATACATTATTCTAAATGCATTCTTGATACACTTTAATAACCCTACTTAAGGTACCTACCCACAGCCTCTTCACCAGGACCTTCGCACTATATTGATTTTCACTGGGGGAGTGGTGGGGGGGGGGGGGGCGGTGCGGTTACGTGTGGTAAAACGAACCAAAGCAGGAGTATTCCTGACCTTATCTCGGGCCCAAAAACCGTAACAAACAATAAAGTACCATTTTTCTTTGTATTTGCTTCTTTCTGCCGATGTTCGTCTCTCTGCCATAGACCCTTACTAAAAATGACCACTCTTCAGCTATTGCTACTCGGCCATCATGAATGCCACCGGACATAACATCAAGTGGGATCATTTTGAAATTTTAACGTCTGGCAAATCAGATTATTGTTGCAAGATAATCTTTTAACATTGTTTATACAAGATCTTAAGCCAGCTTTTAATGTCACAAGCAGACTGGAAATCTGATGCTTTATTAGTTCCCTTTTTTGCCATACATAAGGTATACATAAGTTGTATGTTGACGAAACGTATATCTGAAAAAAGTTTATACAAAAATGCGAAAGTTAACAATTTTTATCACCACTGTTTGTGTTTTATTTTCACGATTAAACTATTTATAGACCAAGAACAAAAATCTTTTTGAAACTTGTGACTCCTAGTACCGCAGTTATGAAAGTTGATAAATTTGAAACGAAAGGTAGCAAAAAGCGCATGGTTTTGAATACGTGAAAAAGTTAACCGTTAGTTAGTGAAAACTTTAAAATATTAAGGGGCAGTGTCATGGATTACTTGTTCATTTTGCCTATTAATTACGTGTCCTTGTTCGCTATCGACTCGACAAATTACCTGTAAATACTAACAAAATTGTGCGAGTTCGCGTCTAACAAATAATTTTTATATGTTCCTTAAGAATTATATCAAACGGAGTCGGCAAACAACAAAAAGGAACTTTTAAAACTTGTGAAGCTAACAAACTTTCTAAAACCACAATTGCAGTCTGCTTCAATCTTTGCAATTGTATAAGTTTGTTCATCTGTGCTCCCTTTCATGTTGTGTTATTTATACCGTTTTAAGCGGTTATTTAATGTTTCACTCAATTTGCTGGAAGTCATCCCTCTGCTTGAACTTAGATAAATTTCTTGACACAGCTCTTTTCAAACCCAAGAATATCAACTACAAAAATCAGATAGAAAGTAAAGAAGGCAAGTAATAAATAAACAAGTATTTTTACTATAATCCTTATCAGCACTCTGTCTTTGGGCGCTGCACGGTTGATGATATCCGGGTAACAATGAGGTATCCGAAACGTCGGCTATTTTCTGAGGTTACGCTTTTTGGAATCAGGGTCAGGTGTTTTTATCCTCATTATTTACTTGTAAATACAGTCAAACCGGGTCAATCCAGACACTGAGGGGGCAATAGAAAGTGGCCATATGTATTAAGGTAGTGTCCGCGAGTAGCGGGTTGAAGTGGAGAAAATGTAAGAGCTTTCTTTCGCCAGGAACAAAGCAAATTTTCCGTAATAATGAGTTGCCCGAGTATAAAGTGGGTGCCTTCGTAAAGCGCGGTTTGACTGTAATAGTAGGGAGCTTAAGCAACAACGTTTTTGAGCGACGCACGTCAACCGGAAGTGGCCTTTTTTCATTTTTTGACGGTGGTTTCGCGCAAATTTTCAGTCAAATCGCCTCTATAACAGTAAAGAAGCTAAGGAATACAAATTTTATATCATCAAGGCATGTTAAGAGGGAAAATACCTCACTTCCGGTTGACGTGCGTCGCTCAAAAACGTCGCTGCTTAAGCTCCCTATTTAAGGTTTGAAGACTTTGAAATGGGTAGGGAAGCTGTTCAAAGCATGCATACTTTGGTACAAAAAATAGACGCATGCTGCGCACTCACATCCGAATTTTCTTAGAGGCTACCCCTAGGATTTGTAATCTATGGACACTTAATTGTTCTTATGTCTATTCAGTACCACAGTAGCGGAGAAAACAGATGCTACCGGGTGTACCACTGAAGAAGTAGACGTAATATGGGCCACAATTTCTCACTTGGATGCTTGTTGAAAAACGACAGCAGTCATTTTCCCAGTGAAAGCACACCGTCTTGCTGACCTGACCGTCAGCCACTGCGGGATGAGTACCATTGATCCAGCCGGGCGCATTGGTGTTACACCTCCGTGTGGGTGGACATGAAGTTGGCATTCTGGTCCCTGCAGCTCCTCGAAACCGGTACCACCCAGGGCCAATTCCGCTGTCACATCCAGAAGTATTTGCTGAGTACGTCTCACTCCTGTCTTTACTCGTGAGGTTGTGAAAGGTTTGGCATTCTGATAAGGAAAGAAAAGATGATTTTAACATTCAAGCAGCAATATTGACATGTGCGGGAGACTAAGGTTAATTAGTTACTACATATCTCTTTATTATTATCAACCCAAGGTACGATGAGTCTTCTGTTTTGCACAATGCGTGCCATCCACCAAGCGATTTGGGTCGCAGTTGTACCTCAATAAGATCGGTATTATGTTAAAGCTGGCCTACCTCGGCCAATTGTAGGAACCCTGACTGCCTTTTTTCTCTTATTTTCCTCCTCCAGTTCCCTTTCTCTACCCCCTGCTCTTTTTCCTTGCCTTTCTCTAGCCTTCCTATTCTTCCTTTATTCCGGTCTAATAGCTGTAATTTCCAGCTAAATAAAAGGGGTTACAAACCCAACGGCTCCAGCTGCCCGGTAGATAAGCCCATGGGGTACTCTATTATGAAAGTGACGGGGATGCCCGTCGGAAAATTAGCTAAAACCCTTAACGAAGATATGATTTCTGGGCGTGGCTTCATTTACTTGGCCCTAAAAGGAGACAATACTCCAACACAGTATGACGAAGTTTGATGTTTTATATAGATTATTTTCCGCACAACCCCAAGCGATACTTTTATAGGCAAAATACCGTATTTATTCGATTCAACTCCGCGGCGTGTATTCGGCGAGGGCGGCGTTTATTTCGAAATCACTTTTTTCAAATCACTGACAACAGCTATTGTAAATCGTTTGTAAATATAATGTAATCTAAAGGTTCCAATGTCTCTCTCATTTTGCTGAGATAGAATCGTAAATGTCTGGATGATATAAACTTACTGTGAGTATCAGGCCTTCCTCAGTATCAGAGTATCAGGCCTTCCCAAGTATCAGAGTATAAGGGTTTTTATCTTCCCCCTTTCCCCCCAGCTCATACATGTAAATTATCAAGTTGTACCGAGGTTTTTCCCATTATCCTCGAGTAAAAGCCGCATTCTTCTGATCAGGTGCGGCGTTTATTCGAGAGCCGCGTTTATTGGTAATTGGAGTCATTGTGAGCCGCTGAGGATTTGAAACAAAAAAATCGTAGAATATATACCCTGTTTAGGAACACCGTCAATTTTTTATCCTGTTTAGGAAAAAGGACAAAATGCAATCGTAATGACCGGCAATACCCAGTTGACAGACTCACACGCAATTATATACCCTCTCTTGACCCTGTTTAGGACACTGAGAGGTCAAAAACCATACTCCCTACGTGAGACCAAAATTTGCAATTTATACCCGTAAAGACGATTAGCCTCCCCGTCAATTTTATATGGGAATTTCCACCCCAGAGTAGATGATTTATAGCAATTCTCTTGGTTATTACCTGCTGCTAGATTACAAGTATTTTCATCTCCAGTGTATGGATTCTTACAAGAACACTTGTAAGATCCTTCAGTGTTAATACATGAGGCGTTCTTGTGACAAGCGTGGACACCGCTGGCACACTCATCGATATCTGTTGGGAAAAGTTTCAAAAACTGTTACATTTGCCTAGGATGCCGAAATCAAATGGGATTTCCCACCGTTAAGAGCCTGTATGAGTCGGTGTCAAGAAATTAGCCGAGTAAAGTGTCATAATGGCCGTTGGGTGCTGTGCACTTTAAAAAAAGTAAGTGAAAGAATAGATTTTAACTAAAGTTAATCTTATAAGCTTATTCTATGCTCGATAAACTGTATTACCTTCTAATACATTGTTTCTAATATATTCAGATGTATTCTGTGGTTAAAAACTTTGTGCGTTATTTGATTTAGAATTAGAGTATTATCTTTTTGTAATTGTCTTGTTCGTTTTGTGGGAGGGATATCTTTCTATGGCTTTTGAAAAGCAAATTTAGCGTTGAATTTTTACTTCCCAGTTGAATTGGGTTACCATTATATTTTTTAACTCCATGCCATAACTATACTTGATGTAAAATGTTCGTCCTTAGTAGCATCCATTATTCATTGTTTTTATTGAATCAACTCCATTGTAATTTCCATTCCTCCCGGAATTTTCATTTTGTTGAATTTTTACCCTCGGTATAAAAATGTCAGCATGTGAGTGAATTCTTTCGCCCCATGTAAGGAAATCCGGATTGCGGAATCCAGGAAGTTTTCGCTAATTAAAGCTTTGTGGTATCCAGAATCTGGGAACTTTTTCTTGTGGAATCCGGAATCCTGGGCTTCTTAGATTCCCTTACTTACAGCAAATTCTTGCATTCATTTGGAAAATATGGAGTTGCAGAATTTGGTGACTTATTTCATATGGAGAAAAGGAGATTTAGAAATCCCAACTGGCAGGCTAACAAGTTAGGCATTTCAGGGGTGGTTCCAGAAAATTCAGAAAAAAAAATCCCTAAAAAAGAACTAAATTTCAAAATAAATTAAAGAAGGACTGTGGTCTCCTCGGACCAGCCCTTACTCTGCTCATGTATTTATATAAGAGTGACCGAGGAGTTGAATTTGGGACTACAGAGAACAACTCCAGTTTGTTGCAGTTGTGGTTAGAGTGCAACCTTGCTCTCAGGCTTCTCTCATACTTGTCGCCTGGAGACAAGTAACAGGGACCCTGGGAATGATTTTGGTAAGAACGAGGACCAGAAACCAACTGCGTTGAAGTCCAGTGCTTTAAATACACCACTATTACTCCATCTTTTAGGGGACGGGTACATTTTAGAGGGGTTAGAGTTTTATTGTTGGAATATGATTACTGTGTTGCCAGGAAGATATTATTGGCAATAAGGTCTACACAAACAAACTTGCAGGGAGCATAAGGTTATCAGAAATAAAGGGCAAAATTTTTTTGGTGAAAACATGAAAGAGCTTATTACTCACCAATGCATGTTTTACCATCGCCCTGGTAACCAACTTTGCACTCGCACTTATAAGATCCCACAGTGTTAACACACTGTTTCTTTTCCGTATCACAACTGTGTAAGTCTCTTGAGCATTCGTTGATATCTAATTAAAAAGTATGATGAACATCAGTCTTCTCCTTACTTTATAAATACGTGATCAAGGAAAAAGGTTGTGAGGATTCATTGATTGATCACTTAAGGCGACATGCTTTGGTCTTCTATCAAATTTTCACTCCTCTACTATAATTCTTTGAGGAAATGTATGGAAATTGATCTGGAGAATTTGTATGTAGATGTTAAGGCCAAAAAAATGAAAGACCATTGTCATTTGGCAACTCACTCGAAACTTGCGTTCCTGTGGAAAAAATCACTGTTTGGTTGGCAAAAGTACAGTTGGCAGGGGCACCCAACGACAATTTCCGGAAAAATATCTGTTCGGAAGACGATTTGAGATCTAGAATTTTCGGAACATTTGTTGTAAAACTTCTTGCTTTCCTGCCTCTCCTAGGATTTTCGAACACCTAAAAAATCGTAAAATTGCTCATTTTCAACGGATTTTTATCCTAAAAAGGTCACCTAGAATTTTCGGGAGCCTTTTTTCTGGCTGAAATTTTCGAACAGGTAAGTTTTGATCCCTATAATTTTCGGATCACTAGACTTTCAGCTAGGAAATCCGAACAGATGAAAAATTTATAGGGGATAAAAATATGCCCATATCCACCGTGTAAATACTAAAACACGTTTAACAATGCCATGTTTAAGTGGTTTTGAACTATATTCTCGTTGGGTGCCCCTGAGTTGGGCTCTGACAAGAGAACTTCAGTTTTTGAAATTCCTGGCACTTCCTTACTATTTTCAGAAGTATTACCTTACTGCAAAGTTTACATTTGTACTTATTGTTTCTGCCCAACATGGCCAATCACAAAAGACACGCGAACTAATGAAAACTGCACATTTTTTTTAAGGATATTTGCATTAATATTTTCCGCCTAAAATTGGCAGGAAAACAAGAATATTCAGCCTGGGCCTGAACAACAACATTCTGATGGTAAGAAAAGGGTTTAGCGAAACGAAGACTCTCGATAATTTTTAAAGTAGGCGATATCTAAGACCTTTAAATAAGCTCTGTCCGAGCCCCATCCTAAAATTTTCTTCGTTTTATGCTCAAGAGTTTTCCTCATAAGCTCGTTGGCTTCTCAGAGATTTCCCCACCACAGTCACTCCTTCCAAGCTGTATGCTAATTTTAAATTTAGTGTTAATTAACCTATTTGCTATCTTTTTTTATTCTACTTGTAATTTATTCTGAGTGGCAAAATAATAATAAAATAAGAGTTGGAAGCATTATATATCACTGCCTACCAGTGCACGAAGTTCCATTTCCAGAGAATCCTAGTTTGCAGGTGCACGTGAAAGATCCAAGGGTATTATTACAGTAGTTGTTGGCATTACAGTTGTGCGTGTTCATCGTGCATTCGTTCAGGTCTACAAACAACATAAAAAACAAAAAAGAAATTGTTTATAAGGATAGCCGAAATCATAAATATGATGCCTTCGAATTGTATCTGAATGGAGTGGTGGTGGGGGGCTGGAGTTGATAACTGAGCTGTTTGAGCAGGCAACAGGCAAAGAAACAAGGAGATACATGAGGGATAGCAGTTTCTTTACCAAAATCCATAATCATATAAAAAATTCAAATCTCTTGATTAGAGAAAGAAACGATTTTTCCAAAACGTTATGAAGTGAACGGAGTGGTGGGCGGGGTTGGGAGGGGTGGGGGGGAGTTGATAACCGATAAGCGAACTCTTTGCGCAGGCATCAGGCAAAGAAACATGGAGATATATAAGAGGTAGAACTTTCTTTGTCAGAATGAAAATCCATGATCAAATAAAAAATTTAAATCACTTGATTAGAATTTTTGATTTGAGAAAGAAACGATGTTTCCAAAGCTGTAGCCTGCGTAGCAAGCGTTTTTGGTTGGTTTCAGAGCAAAGAAAGACAGAGGAACGGGATTTTCCGTTTTGGCTGCGCGAGAATTGAAACGAGAGCTCTTTTACTCGCGCCATGTTTCGCGCTGTCTTTGACTCTCGTTCCTCGTTCTTTGCTTCAAGACCGCACGGAAAGCAGCGCTTGCTACGCAGGCTACCAAAAGAGGATCATTTACGATCTATGGAAAGACCCACTATCATGGGCTTCGCCACGCCACGTTTGATGTGCTGCGAGTTTTCGGATCTTTGATTTCTTCAGGGGGAAAATTAAACTGAAGGACGCAACGTATTATCGGCCAAACGAAGACTAGTCTTGCGAAAAAATAAGCGCGTGGCGTCGGTAGTGTAAAGGCGATTGTTTACGTGGTCACCAACGCCCGTACTTCTTTGCGGTCCAGATAGGCCACAAAGTCGAATAGCTCTCCTGCCTATGAAAATTTTTTCTCGTCATCGCTGGCTGTATTTACTCTTTGTAGATATGGAGGAAAAAAGCGCTTCGGATCGCGGTTCTAAAGAATCGATTTTCTTCCGGCTTGGATCATTTGGATCAATGATCCGCGCGCCGTTGATGTGAATTTGTTAAAGAAACGCCTGAAATGTCAAATTTTGGATTAAAAAAAACTTTTGTAAAAAAGCGTTACTCAGTACATAAACTTAGCCAAGGAGGGTTAAGCTAACTCGCCTCGAAACAGCTGTTATTAGCTCCAAGGGTAGGGTACAGATATAAATGTGTACATGTTATTGACATACCCTTAAGAAGGGATTCGACAATAATAGTTATGCAATGAAGTTGAGAAATAATAATATTCCTTGATTATTCCAATCTCTGATGATCATTTAAACCGACTGCAGTGAACTTAGGACAGAAAATTCGCCGTAATGGCCTTTTATGATTGAAACGTTAATTAAATCATCATACACAACAGATTATTTAACGACTACCGGCGCATATCTTTCCATTTCCTGCGAATCCAGGATTGCAGATGCAAATATTGGACTCAGCGATGTTTTCGCAAACCGCGTTAGCATCACATAGCTGCGGACTGGCTATACAGTCATCAGCATTTTGATCTGAAAGAAACAAACATGTAGGCAAATAAATAAATAAATATATAAGATTATAATGAAATAAATACATTATTCCTTTTGTATATCGAGGCATGTCGCAGAGAGGAATGAATATTTACAATGTAATAGCATGTAATATAGACTTGCAGCGGCGTCGAGAAGCAGGGTCAAAACCTCATGGACCATACACACATGAAAATATGGTGGCGATATGGTTTTGTTGATTTCTCATGTTCACGAACAGGACAGATTCTGGTCGTTTTCTCTGTACTAATTGCAAGTATTGATATGGAGGTATGTGTTGCAAAACAAATTATATGCGCATAGCTTCATGGTCCCCATGAAATACCTCTATTTTGCCCAAGTTTAACCTTATTGGGTATGTTGTAGGAATAGATTAAGTTTTGTCCTGGTATTTATGTTGAACCAATTAAAAGTAACAGCACACATAGACACTTGTTCCTTTGCAACGAAAAACTTGGGCATGTCCCTGCAACGTACCCCTGGGACATAATCTGCAACATACCCCCGGGGATATTTCCTTAAAATCCTATCCCCGCAACATGTCCCTCAGAGTCTCTGCAACAAACCCCTGAGTCTTGTCCCAGTAGCATATCCATGGAACATATCCCTGCAGCATTTTCCTGGTACCTATTTAATATATAACTTATCCCTGGAACATTTTCCGGCAACACATCCCTAGGACATATCCCGGCGACATATCCTTGGTACATTTTCTTGCAACGCATCCTTGAGATATTTTTCCTCAACTTATCCTTGGAGATGCACCTGCCACAAATCCTTTGGTCATATCTCTGTTACTAATATATCTCACAGACATTTCCTTCCAACATACTATCACATACGTTCCCATTTAACTGCCTGTTTTCGCTTTACATACCTATTTTTAGAGAAATAGTGGAAAAATATGGGCTCAGCCATAATGACGCCAGATTGCGTCGCTTGGTATTTAGTGCTAAAATTACCTGAAATAGCGTGACCTTAGTCCGTTCAAATTCACTAGAGCGAAGCTCAGAATTTTAAATTCTGACGAAGTATTTTCGTAAGAATGATATCGCTTTATATTGCTCTACTCTAACCCGAACATACTTTTATTTGGTTATTTGACTCGGGCAAAATTGTGGCGAATATCTCCCTTCCATACTATGATCGTGAAAGTTCAAAACGGGGGTAAATTTCTCCCTTGCCTTGTTTGCCTCTTTGTAAAAGCACTGTTAATTTAATTTCAGTGTTCTCATGCGGTAGTCAGTGTTCTGAAAGAGCACTAGTTCCTTTTCTCAACACTAACCAACAAAACGATACATTTTTTTTTCTGTTTAAAACTTCTTTGAGAATGTTACATTGTTAATTGAGCCTAGTTAAGATCCTTCAACCGTTAAATGTCGCTGCATGGTGATAATTTTTGTGGGTAAAGAGATCAAAACCTGTTTTCGTTCTGCTAGGAGCAGATTAGAGAAGGATAAAAATTCTGAAGACTGATTCACTTGATATTGTAGCTTAATTTTAATTTTATGGCAGACCAATTCTACTTAAATCAAACCTACAACATCATCGATGAAGAGATGTGCTTATGTCCGTATATGAGAGGAGCGTGTAAGCGCTCTTTATATAGTCAAGACGTACCAAATCGTCCGTTGTAATTGTCGATTGTAGTGGCTTTAAAATCAAAATTCACTACCTACAGTTCCCGAACTTCATTTTGTGAATAATCGGAAAACAAATATAAGTATGTGAAAGAACGACTTAAGAGGTCTCGTTTGAATAAAAACGCAAACGTAGGATTGCGTTCAGAGGCTCGAAAAAATTGGAATTAAATTTTGTTTGTTTGTTAAAAGTTAATGGTAAACACAAAATATGATGATTTTTAAGTCATGCAATTTACATGTATAGTTTACAGTTTTAATAATCGCTAGATTTTGTTTATTTGTCTATGAAAACTGTTTCTAAGTCCATTTTTTCAAAAAAATGAAATTATAGGCTTGTCTCTTTGCCGCTTACCTTGTACTTTTGTTTCCTGCTTCGGAGGGGCTGAACTCTCTCCATCCGCCATCTTCATTGTAACCAAAACCAAAGCTACAACAGCGACCAAGAACGTTAGAGTGATAGCAGTCAACATGAAGAGTTTCATTCGGCGAAGGTTAATCATGATCTCTTGTCTCAGGACGTTCTCAGTATCAGTGGTTGTGTTCTGTCTCGGCTTCATCCCTTCTTTGTGCCCGCACGCATTCCTAGCTGTTTGAACCTTGACATTTGTTACTGCTTCTCCGAGTATGTTCTCATATGTTTGTTCAACGTTGCCTTTGTTTTTAGTGGACTGCAGCTCTGAATAATACTCTTCGTTTGCCCCTGGCGTCATATGCATCTTACAAAGATGTAGAAATATTATTTCCGTGTTCCTTTGCTCGTAGTGAACTTGTTTGAAGGTCGAGTAACAACTGGTTAGAAAGAATGCTCTCCCCTGGCATAAAGCGGAGTTTGCAAGCCAAAATTTACTTTAAATTTGCCATTAACCCAATGAACCTTAAACAACCTATGACCGCTTGAGTGTCGTTTATGACGTCATCATTTTTAACCTCAAGGGATAAGTTTGATAAACAACTTAGGTGCACGGAAAGCAAATCTACCAATATATAAGCAATTTAGAACACACTGCGTCCATTTATACCAGGAAAAAAGAGGCTTCTTACACAAGCGGCGTCTAAAAAAGAGGGGAAAATGCCGCACCATTTACACACCGAACAAGTCTTGTGTATAGAACGTTTGACGCACAATAAGAGGCGCCAAAAGGAAGATCATTTCAAGATATTTTCTTTGTGGAAGCGAAAATGCGCCTTACACAAAAACAGGTTTTACGGGTTGTTTTTAGCTGAGTAAAATGCGTCTCAGCTAAGTCGTGTCGTACGTAAAACGATTCCTAAGAGACGCGTCTTTATTTTTCCTCTTGTAAGTGTCAATAATTGCACTATGCCAAAGATTGGAGGGTGGGAGTATACTCACCGAAGGTTTATACGGGGAGACTTCGCCCCTCGGAGCAAACCCTTACCCTTTACATACATAAAATTAGTCTGTTAGCCTTTTTTGGACCTTTTACAGACAGAAATTGCACATTCCCCTTACCTTGCATATGGGCCAATGATATCCCTACCTATATATATAGCTGAAGAATAAAGAAGGTACCCCCCTTTCTGGCGGAACCTCCTCCAAAAGGCCGTTATAGTGAGTCCCCCTCCCCCTCCCCCGGGGAACCAATGATAATTACACGAGAGACAAGCCAATTTCAGCAGCTCATACATTCTCTGGGTGGTCGCAAATTTGTTTACCAAGAGAAACGAAATCAGAGCCTGATTATTGGTTACGGATTAAAGTTACCGTATTTGGTCTATAATTGTTTGTTTAGTTTTCTTCGAATCAGCAATGAAAAATTCCGAAAAGAAATTATTTCTTTCCCTGATAACATCACATCACCAAGTTGAATATAAAGAAGTACATATTTAATGGTGAATATAATTAAAAAGGAATTAAGTAGGTTTAAAAAATGAGCAGGAGTGTATTATCAGGTTTAAAAACTCTTCTCTGATATAGATCAACTCATTCATGCACTAATATTTAGATTTGGGGTTATTTTGGTTTAAAAAATTGGACGTAAAGTTTAGCCGTGTCCTTATCAGATATAAAGCTACTCATTAAACGTTTGTTTTTTTTCTCTATGAATTATTAATGACTTAAAATAATAGACCTTTTAAGATTGTACGTTTTGTTTCCCCAATTCGGGCCACTTGATGTTCTCCAGAGAATTTACCAGAGAATTATACACACATATGCTCGTGGATGCACGTACAGGGACGACATTTGAAAGAAACGGTTCTCTGGGATAACATCGCATATGGTCTGAAATGGGAAAACAAAAACTTCAAGCTTAAAAGGTCTATTCGGAAAGGCTGGTGGGACAACAGGGCGAAAGGCTGGCGTTGCATGGTCACTCTGAAACTTTTTTTCTCTCTCCACTATCGAAGCCCTACCACCACCTTTTGGCCGGGATCAGGTATCACAATTCCATCAGCACGGCCGGCTGGAAACTAAGGGCCTGTTTACATGGAGGT